GTAGAGACGGGGTCTCACTCTTGCTCAGGCTGGTCTCAAACTCCTGAGCTCAATCAGCCCGCCTCGGCCTCCCAGAGTGCTAGGATTACAGGCGTGAGCCACCGCGCCCGGCCTGAGTCTGTCTCTTTAAAAAAAAAAAAAGCGGAATGAAAGAAAAGAAAGGAAAAGAAAGAAAAAATTAACTTTCTTCTAGAAACAAAAATTTTATCCACATTTTATCTACAGAATCCCATGCCTTTTCTGACCATACAACAAAATTCATACTTTCTGGCGTATGGTTTTGAATTTTAGCAGATACAACAGTTTCAGCATTCACAAAGAATTCAGTTACATCCCTCTGTAATCAACCCTCCTCCCTAGCCATAAACCTTGGCAGTAATGTTTTTCTTTTCCTATTGTTGCAATAGTTTTCACTCTATGCTAATAAAGCTGTTTGTATCCAGAAGGTATCGTGCTAATACCCCCTTTCACTTAAACATACTATGAAAATTTACTTAGTATTAGACTAAGTACTAATTAGATTTAGTATTAATCAGTGTGAAATTCCTTAACATAACAATATTTGACAACCTAGTATAGCTACACCTCAAGCCATTTCCAGTGTTTAACTAAGAGGAAAAAAAAAAAATCAGTGGCAGATAAATCCCTTGAGTAAAACATACAAATTAAGTATGCATATATAAAATTTTAAAGCTTTTTACTGGTTGAAAATACACAGTAGGCCGGGCGCGGTGGCTCACGCCTGTAATCCTAGCACTTTGGGAGGCCAAGGCGGGAAGATCGCTCAAGGTCAGGAGTTCAAGACCAGCCTGAGCAAGAGTGAGACCCCGTCTCTACTAAAAAATAGAAAGAAATGATCTGGACAACTAAAAATCTATATTTAGAAAAAATTAGCCGGGCATGGTCGCACATGCCTATAGTCCCAGCTACTTGGGAGGCTGAGGCAGGAGGATTGCTTCAGCCCAGGAGTTTGAGGTTGCTGTAAGCTAGGCTGACGCCACGGCACTCTACTCTAGGCAACAGAGTGAAACTCTGTCTCAAAAAAAAAAAAAAAAAAAAGAAAGAAAATACACAGTAAACTGTTACAAGTAAGAAAGAAAACGGAGAAGGGGAACTTAAAGATAACAGGCTAGGCACAGTGGCTCACAGAACTTAACCCTCTGACCCAATAATTTCACTTCTAGGAAATACTTCCTGAGTAATAATTAAATTAATATACATTATGGCCCAGTTCTGCATAAAAATAAACATGAAACTCCGTATCTCCGTACATACTCCCACAGGTGAACAGACAGGTGTGGAAGAAGGCATCCACAATCACTAGGGAAGAGCGTAGTGAGGGTGGCGGCCAAGGCTGAACGCTTTACACGGCAGGTTGAGGGTCTCACGCGTGTAATGAAAGACAAGGGTGGGCAGAGCCAGACCAGCCTCCCCAGGCAGACGCAGCTGCCTGGAGAGCAGTCTCAGGGGCACGGGCACGCAGGGCTTACGGGGCTCGTGGGCTTGTCGGCTTCCTCACTCTCCTCCTCAGAGTCGCTGGCTGAGTCTTGACAGCCGGCGCTGGCAGGCGAGACTGGCAGCTGAGGAAGGAAGGTCTGGAGCACTCGTAAATACACCAGCAGGCCGTCCTCAGAGAGCGCCCCTGGGTATGACAATCAGTTACAACATATTCGAGTTAAAATGGAAAACCTGGGTATCATTTTTTCCTCATACCCAACAAGGCCCTTCTGACCAGAACTTACTGCAGTATAGTACGAAATGTATTTGGTCTTTGTCCCTGCTTATGCCACAGAGCATTTTTAGAATTTCTTAGAATTTCCTAAAAGAAAGAGTGTCTTTTGTTATTCCCAACCAGCCGGGTGTGACCATATCTGAGTGTCTGCTCCAGTGGCGACTTGGGTGAGGCCCCCCATATGGCCTCAGGGTGGGGCTGGTTGCCAGAAAGACCAAGTGATGAGAGGACTGGAACTTTCACCCCACTCCCCAACCTCCCAGGGCTGGGGGGACTGGGGATCGAGCTCGGAAAACTCCTGAACGACAAGACTCAACCAGCCTGTGGACTGCTGAACACACGGCGGTGCTGGGAAGGTGGCATGCCCAGAGGGCGCGAAGCTCCATCCAGGCCCCTTCCCAGGTACGCTGCCATATGCATTTCGTCGTCTTGCTGTTCACCTGTTCCTTATAAGATCCTTTACAATAAACTGGCAAATACAAGCTTCCCTGAGTTCTGTGAGCTGTCCTAGTAAATTATCCAACCCAAGTAGAGGTTGCAGGAACCTCGATTTTTGCTAGTTGGTCAGAAATACATGGGATAACCTACTGTTAATACCTGCAATTGGCCATCCGACTACATGTCGAGGTGGACAGCAGCAGAACGCACTTGAATTATAAGATACCTAGCTGGTGTCCACTTGGCAAATGTTCATTGTGTGGAGAAAAACCCCCCACATATCTGGTCACAGAAGTATGCCAAGTTGAATGTGAGAGTAAGAAAAACTCTGTTTTTTCTTGTATCTCTTTATCCTAGTAATTCACGTCCATATGTTGTATTAAAACCTACCACAGGAAGATGCTATCATTCTAGAATAGGCACACTGGAGGTGTAACACAAGTGGGTGCACAGAAACTCTCACAGAGGAGCTCTCCCATTTAATTGTTGTCTGTTGTAATCGGTGTGGCCTTTTAAACATTTATCTAAAACAGACTTTTTACTGCATCTGAAAACTTTCCTCAGGGACAATACCCAGAGCACAGCCCTTCAGCAAATACCGTGTTCCAAGAAATGCCCACCCTAGAGACCATCTTTATGTGACACGCACCCCTGCGTGAACTTCTGACTGACCTGCTAATGCAAGCTACACGTGAGTTCAGGTAAAATGTGTTTTGTATTTCATACCCAAATAATTTTCACCAACAGTTAAAACAAAATAGAAAAGCCACGGTGCTCCACCGCTCTTCTTTGAGCACCTCCTCTCAGCCAACAGCAGTGCACGCAGGAAGGGCTCGTAAGGGAAGACGGTCTGCACATCTGCTAATGCCGGGACGATGAAGTGAAAGATCTGATCTGTGAAAGGTGCCTCCAGAAACTCCCCTGCGAAGGCTGCGAAGACTTGTTGCCTGAAGAGAAAAGTGGAAGCCATTTATAGAATCAAAGCACACTGTTCATCAAATCACTGATTAAAACAGCCTTTCAAAATATCCTTCTAAATAATCTATTATTTTAAATTAACCAAGTTAATCATTTAACATCAACCAGATCAACCTGAAGTGAACTACATTTTATGTCTTCTTCATTAAGATAACTCCATCATGCCTTTGACAGCTACTACACAGCAGGACAATAACCAGGGTATCAGAATCCCAAATTTATATTAGGTTGCAGGCCAGAAAGAAAAAGGGCATTTTTCTGTAAACTAAATCAACACTAATAAAAGTAAAAATTTGACTTTCAAGTCTATATTTAAAATAGCATCCTATGTAAAAGTTACTATTAGATACAGATCTCATAAAATGACAAAATCGGTAAGTCCATTCCATTCTCACCTTGCACCTTCTGGACAGGAGTTGTAAGTAAAGTGCAATGGTTTTAGAACATTCTCTAGCAAAATTTTTGCTATAGGAACTCGAGATAAATCAGAATATTCAATACTTGATGGAAGCTTGCTGTTAATCAACAAATAGAGAGACCTAAAATACCCTAAAAGGAAGAACACATATTTACAATTTAGTATCTTTTCTTATAATAAGGAAAAAAGCTCATCGGTTTTTAAATGCTTTTTATAAATCTCTATAGGTCCAAATTTCAGGCAATTCTTTAACATTTATTACTATTAAGGACAACTTTAAACAGATAAGCAGCATGACTGGTAACAAACCCACGTGCCCATGACTCGTGTCTACAACAGTTGGCAACAGCCAATCCCACTTCACCTGCACCCCACTCACACAGAAGCAAATCTCAGAATTCTTTCAGTGTATCATTAAAAGGACTTTATTTCTGAAAAATACCATTATCACAGCTAAAATAAACAGTAATTCCTTAACATCACAAATATTTAGTCAGTGTTCAACTTTCCAATTATCTCATGTTATAAATTTTATTTAGTTAGTTTACTTAAATCAGAATTCCCAATAATGCCCGTATGTTGTGATCTTCGGATCTATCTCCTAAGTGTCCCCCAAGTATTCAATTAGTTTTGTAGGCTTTTTAAATATCATGTCGAGGCCTGGCACAGTGGCTCACACCTGTAACCCAAGTTGGGAGGTTGAGGCAGGAGGATCACTTGAGGCCAGGAATTCAAAACCAGCCTGGGAAATAGAGTGAGACCCTGTCTCTCCAAAAAATATTTTAAAAATTAACCAGTTGTGGTGGCGCATGCCTACAGTCCCAGCTACGGGAGGCAGAGGCAGGAAGATTGCTTCAGTCCAGGAGTTCGAGATCACACCACTGCACTCCAGCTTGGGTGAGGGAGTGAAACTCTACCTCAAAAGAAAAAAAAAAAAAAACAGAAAAAGAAAAAATACGTATCATGTTGAACTCATGGAGTTAACCATACTGACGGTTTCAATCCACTACAGCTGTTATCCTCACCGATCCCCACCCCCACACACACACCATCCCATCTGTGGGCCTGGCCTGAGCACCAGGTGGCTCCCCAGCCTGGAGGTCACTGGGAGCACTGCTCTCTGATTGGACGAGCCACCCCACTCCAACCTCCTGTCCTGACCCAGACCTGCACTCAGCCTCTTCTATGGGGAGGCTGAAGTTCCTTTTCAAGGAAGTGATATATTTGGAGACCACAATCTGGTGGTCAGCAAGGAAATTGATTGATTTAAAGGCAACTTACATGTGAACAGAAACAACTTTTATGGCCTTTATTAAATTTTCTTTTCTATGCTTTTGATAGGATTTCTGAGTGTGCGGTGAACATAAACTCTGGTTATCGCCAATGATTCAAATCATATATTCTTTTAAGAAATGCTTGCTTGTTTTTTATAAAATAGTAAGAACAATGTTCATGTGTTATTTGTGAATACCTCATCATACAGACATATTTGGTAGGACACATTAAAAACCATTTGCTTGGGACAGTTTTGGAAAATAGTTCTATACAGCTTTGAACTTGAGTTAAGATTATTACACAATGAATACTTAGTATTCTCATTAGATCTATGCTGTAACTACCCCAATTCTAACCTAGTATACATTAATTGCTAGTGAAACTCAAAATGGAAGCTTGAAAGCTCTTTTCCTATAAAACTGAAAAGACATGCACAACAATTTTTAAAAATACATTAAGATTTTTTTTAAAAAAGTATCACATCATTAATAACATACATGTTGAACAGATACGCGTATGACACAGCATGACTGGAGTATTAAGTTCTGTTACAAGAGTTAAAAAGCTTCATAGCACATGATGTACAATAAAAACGCAAACTATAATCAACAAAAAGAATGCCAGCATTTTATAGACTCATAATATCAGGAAGCAATTCATCAAAACAACTGAAAAATGGCACACCACAGAAGATGCTAGAAGCGGTAGTTTCAGTGTAAGATTTTCAAGCATTTCTTATTTTTAGACACATTTCAAATTTCAAATAATGCATATTTCTGGATTATCTTCCTTATAATTTTAGAAAACAAGAAAAATAAAAATTCTCATTGAATGCTAAGCCTTAAGTTGATATACATAATACATTGATTAATACAATGGATTACTCCTAATTATCATTAGTTTGTTCTTTAAAAAACTAAATCCCACAAATTTCAATTTACTTTTAATTAATGCAGCAGTTTCCCTAAGTTTTCAACAAAGTAGTTTAAAAAAAAAAAATCCCGAACAATAGGTTGGAATGGATAAAAATTTAACTTTTACAGTTTTAATTCATAGGACTGAATCAGTTAGATTTAACCTATATTGTCAGTCCACCATTTTAAGAAAACAAAAGCACATTTATACTTTTATCAGTTAAGCATGGCTTTCCAAAACCATCTTAGATCCTTTTGACTGATCACATATATATATTTTAATGCTAACTAATATTTTTGAAGTCCCAGAGCCCTAAAATATTTGGCTTTTCACTTGTGAGAGGATACTGGGATTGATAGTTTTTTATTTTAGATTTTATACTACTCACTTCATCATAAAAGTTTTTTTAAAAATTTATTTCACAGTTTTTCTCCAAATAGTGTCAATAACATCCTCAGTGGAATTTCAAATTTACTATGTCTGCAGCCTGTTAGGGACTGGGCCACGAGCTCTGACTCCTGCAGAGTCAGAGCCCCGGCAAAACTGTCTTCCGTGAAACCCGGTCCCTGGTGCTGGGGACCACTGCCTTATGTAATGCAGACATTTTAAGGATAGTATCAATGTATAAAAGCTTTAACACTGAGTTATAGAAAGAAAATTCAAATAAACTATCCCATTCTACTGAATGTGAGAATTTACCATTCTTTTAATATGAATAATAGATTTACTTTTTTTTTTCCTTTTTTTTTTTGAGACAGGTTCTCACTCTGCTGCCCAGGCTGGAGTGCAGTGGCCCAATCATAACTCACTGCAGCGTCGAACTCCTAGGCTCAGGCGATCCTCCCTCCTGCCTCAGCCTCCCAAGTATCTAGGACTACAGGTGCTGCCCACCATGCCCAGCTAATTTTTTTATTTTTTGTTAAGACAGAGTATCGCTTTGTTGCCCAGGTTTTGAACTCCTGACCTCAAGCGATCTTCCTGCGTCAGCCTCCCAAAGTGCTGGGATTACAGGCATGAGCCACCGCACCCGGTGAATAGCAAGATTTGCTTTTTAATAAGGCAGGCCCTTCAAGTGACGTAACTCACGCATTTGCAGTATTATCTTTCCTATCCACTCGCGGTAATCATGAAGTTATAAGACCCCTTTCTACTCAGTCATGGATGGCTTCACTGCAGATGCAAATGTTGGATTAAAGTATTATACTTGAGACAATTTCTAAAAGCATACGTTGATTTTCTTCATTTCCAAGCAAAAGAAAACAGCACGTTTCCAAATTTTCAACATCGGTAGAGCCAAAGACAGACATTGGAATTCTTGACTCTTGCAGGCACCCCTCACTGTGCACAATGCTTCTGTTACATATTTTGATGTTGGGGTAAGTCCTAAAAAGCATGCTGGCTTGTACTTACTTCACATAATAATGCTACGCCCCAGTTCTTACCCCACGTACTACTTACCATTCTGAATCATGTAGTGCAAAATTTGTTCGATTACTGACACCACATAGCTGGCATCTTGTAAAACAGGCATATAAGTATTCTCAGATGAAAATACCTCAAGCATTCTCATCGGAAGTGCAACATTCAAACTGTCATCATTACAGTTTTGCAGCAACCTGTAAAAATGAAAGAAAAAAAAAAAGGCATTCCCTCAATTACTGCGTGGCAAAGGTCACCAGAAGTTTCCCCAAATTACTCTCAGTCACAATGGTAAGTACCTGAGCCACTCTGATCTAGTACTAGACCACCTCTGAAAACAGGCGTATCTCAAAGATGGGGCAGTGATCAAACATTCTGCCAACCAGTTTGTAAGAGTCCTTATGACGTGCCAAACAGCACGCTGGCACTGGGCTCACAGACGTGAGAAACAAAGAATCAGGTTACAAACAGCATGGGAGGTATTATAATCCACGGATCACACCAAGAGAAACTACATCTAATTAAACTGAAGGAGAAATTTCTTAAAAAGTGAATATCGTCTCCTTCAAAGATGACTTCAGGCCTTTCCATGCCTACAGCATCCTCCACACAGAGCAGACAGGACAGATTTCTGGTCCTTTTGCCTAAAGCCTCCCTTCTGCCCGTGAGAAGGATTACAGGCAGAAGGGAAGGCTCAGCTGCCACAAAATTAGTCTTATTTAAAAACAGAGATGTCTTTTCTTAAAATCAACTTTACAGAGACATACTTGCCCACATCAGTCTACACCCACCTAAGCTGGGCAGCACGAGTGTGGACAGACCGCACCACGACCAGGACGCAGCGCACACCTGTCGCCCTCCCCTGGCGTCTCCAGTGCACTCCCCCTCCAAGCCACTCACCTCGTGCACCTTTGCTGTTATCCCCAGCCCTGTTTTCTGTCACTAGAGTAGGGTGCACTTCCTGCTCTTTTTACAGTAAGAAATTGTTACACGGTATGGACTCAGCGTCCAGACTCTCTCACTCAGCATCTTTCTGAGACTCGTCCACGTGCGTCCAAAGCCTGGTCCTTTGTATTGCTGAGCAGCGCTCCACTGCACGGAAATACCACCTTTGGGTTACACATGTGCACGCTGACAGATATGCAGGCTGTTACCAGTCTTCTGCTGTTATGAAGAAAGCTGTGATGGGCGTTCGAGGGCCAGCCTCTGTATGGACTGGGCCTCATTTCTCTTGGTAAATTCCTAGGTGTGGAATCACTGGGTCACGTGGCAGCTATGTATTTAACTTTATAAGAAACTACCATACTTACAACAGCAGTGCCCGAGAGCCCCATTTGCTCCATATCCTCAACACCCGGAACGGACAATTCGTAGAACCTAGCCATGCCGACGGGCGTGTGGTCGTATTCCACTGCGATCTAAATTTGTACTTCCCTGATCGCTGATGACGACGAGCATTTTTCAAGGGCTTACTGGTTATTCAGGTGTTTCCTTTTCAAGTGCGTCTGCTCGAATCTATCATCCAATTTTTTAACCAGGTTGTCAGTCTCAGAACAATATGGACAAACTGCCCTTACCCATCTGAGGCCGTACCCTATAACCCTGGAGCTACACCCTGTCCTCTCTTGGAAGCAACGTTTGTTCTAGTAATTCTTCCTTTGGCATCAAGATTCTCTCTCATACCGTGTCATCAGCAAACACACTACTAGTTTTTCCAAGTCACAGAGACTCTGCCCACTGCCCTCGCCAGCCTTGACCCACGTCCCTGCTCCCTCTGCAGCACAGCACCGCGTGACTGACGACCCCACTCTTCCCACGCTCGAAACCCAACACTGCTCTCTTGGGCTGGCAATGGCGTTACTGAGGAAAAAATCGGAAGACTGTAGAACGGGCAACAGGGGGGAGGGGTACTGAGTGTCCTGCCCAGCCCACCCCTGGGCTTCCACCCTGTATCCGCCAGGCTGCTCTGCAGCTCCGCAGAGACACAAGTTAACTTGCAGAAAACCCGTAAGTCATACAAATGCTTCCCATTCTGAGCTATGCAAAGTCTTCCTGTTCCCGGCAATGCGAAAGGCTTTTGTGAAAGAGAGAATGTAAGGCTCAGCAAGGTGGAGCCTCATTTAAATTAACTGCATGTCTAACTGGGTACCTCATTAATTAACAATTAATAAAAAACCTTTGATACGTGTTTACTTGAGAGTCTGATTCTACCTTTTGGAAAAGTAGTACCTAGCATTACCAACTCTCCGATTTCATCCTCAGTGCTCTGATCCAGCGGCTGCCCAGTCGGCAGCGTCCACGCCAGCCACGTCCCCTCTCTCCTTCCCTGTGCCCTCTGTCCTTCCAGGACCTCAGACCCTGTCTTCCTCCGGCCTCCTTGGTCCCTCCTCGGCCCACAGCCTCCTGCTGTGGAGGGTTCCTTCAGCGATCCGCTGTTTCTCTCCTACACAATCCACTCACCCCATCCAGTGTTATGCATCCCGGTCTTAAACCACTTCATCCCTCTCCTCGCTCACACTGAGCTTGTACCCATCCTCAACTCCTCCTTGTCTGAAACCCCACAGCCAGCGTGTCAGCAAATCCTGTCAACCCTCCAGAGGCTACCAACTCTGTGTCACCCTCTGCCATCGGCTCGGTGCAGGCCACCACCGCTTCCGGCTGGATTACCGTCATCCCTCGCCGATCCCTGTCTCTGCCCTGCCTCCCTGCAGTCCCTTTTCAACACTGGCCAGAGCGGAGCTGTGAAAACATGCAGTGGGGGCGTGGGAGGGAGGGGCTGTTCTAGAGGAAAGATTCGGGAGACGTCAAAGGTAAAGCGTGGTCAAACAGACTGTTAAAAAAAAAAAAAAAAAAGAATAAAGAAAAACAGCTATAAAGCTATAAAGCACATCGTGAAGACAACAGGGGAAATTTGAAAATGAGCTGGGTGTTAGACAAAGTGACTAATCGGAGCCGTTTCTGAGTGCAAGGGGTGCTGGGACTGTCAGAGCAGACGTCAGCTCCTGGTGTTAGCTAACGTGTTCTTGAACAACTTCACGGGTGTGACAATGGCATCATGGCTGGTAGGAGAGTGTCTTCCTCTTCAGAGAGAGAGATGGCAGTATTTGGGGAGAGGAGTGTCACTACGCTACTTTCCAGTGATTCAGCGAAATACTAGCAATGGTCAACAATGCTAAAAATTCTTGACTCCACGTGGCAGCAAAGAGCATCTAGTATACCATTTTTCTACTCTTTCATGTTTGAAATTTTACCTAACAGAAACTTTAAAAGACACAGAGAGGAAAAAAAGTCAGGTTATGTCACTCTTGCTCAAAACTTTCCTTTGGCTTCCCTGCTCTCTCAGCACAAAGCTGAAGTCCTCAGAGAACATCCCCACCAGACCCCGAGTGTCTGCGCCTTCTCAGCAGCCGCTGCGCCAGCTGACTCTGGCCCCAGGCCGACAACCGCATGGCCAATGCCCTGCCTCGTTCGAGCCCTTTCTGACCAGATGATCACAAGAGCCACTCCCCCACCAAAATCCACAAAAGGCATTTCCTTCTTTTTATCTCAACACTTAACATTTACTTTTTTTGTGTAAAAACATTCATACTTCTTTATGTTTATTTTTGGTCTCCCAGACCGGATATAAGCTCAGGAGAGTAAGAACCTTCTGACTCCTCACAGCCACACCCCCGTGCTGAGAACCATGCCCAGCACGGCGTAGGACACCATAAGCTCTTTCTAATAAACCAAAGAACTGATGAGCCAACCCTAACGAGCCTAATGGACACTCACGAAAAAAGAAATCCAAGTAATGTAAGTATTTGTGAGCTTTCTCAAAATTATCTTCATTTTCAAAATAAATGTACTTAAGTAGGTAAGTATCTGTTTACCTTTACGAACATTAGTGTTAAATAACAATGACACAGTGCTGGGACCGCAGGCAAGAGACACCGGTCCTGGCCCAGAGAGGCTACTCAAAGGGCTCTCTCTACCTAAACAGGACCACCAAAAAGAATAATTTATCACACACTGTTTTAAAAAATACATAAGACCTTACTGAGACTAAGGGGAAAAGGGGGGGAGGGGTCTTCTTTACAAAAGAATGCCGGCTAATAAACACTGAAGAAGCAAGAGAATTAGAAGAATCACCATTGCACAAACCATAGATGATGTTAAAATTGATTTAGGCATAGATCATCTACAGACGCTAAAACCCCTGGGTGACAGGTTGTATTCATATATGAAGGTATCATCCCATAGACAAAGAGGAAAATGTACCTTTACAATAGAGAGCTATAGTCGTTTCTACCTTAACCCAATAATCAAACTCAGCACCATTCATAATGGGACATACCTCAGTAGGTGTCTCTTGACGGGATGTGATGTGACTTTCGCATTACCTCCTAGGAAGCATTCTTATTAAAAATGTTTAAATTAAATTGAAGCAAGCCTCTGTATCAGTGGCTCTCAATGAGGACAATCTTGCTTCTGGGGTGACATCTGGCAGTGTTCGGAGACACGTTTGGCTGGGAGCAGGGCACGACCAGCACTTGATCAGCCTCTTGCCGTGCAGGACGGCCCACGACAGAGCCCTTCCAAGATGTCAACAGGACAAGGTTGAGAAACCCTCCCCGAAACCCAACTCCCATTTCAGAAATGCAGAGACAGAGGAATGCATAAAATGAACGGTTCTTAAGATCATTAAAACAAAAAAGAGATCTGTGAGACAAATGAGGAAATCTGAATATGGAGTACACATTACATGGTATTAGAGAAATCCTAATTTTCTCAGACCTGGAACCAGCACCGTGGTCACGTAAGAACGTGCTGTTCCCAGATGTGGGGTGAATGTCACGATGTCTGCGACTTACTTTCCGATGCTTCAGAAAAACAGTATGCGTAGAGAAAGAAGGCAAATGTGGCAAAATGGTAACTTCCGAATCTATCCAAAGGTATTTTTTCAACTTTCCTTGTATTTGAAATTTTTCAAAATTAAAAATTGGAAAAGAAATGAGAAATTCCATTCGGATATATCATCTATTCAAATTACTTGCTTATATGAGTATCTTCGAAAGTGACCTTAGAGAAAGTGTTCACGACCTGCAACCCATGGGCCAAACCAGCCCTCGGTCTGTTTTCACACAGCTGTTGAGTGAAAAGTGGTTGATTGATTTTAAAGGGTTGTAAGAAAAAAGAAAGACTATTTAACAGAGATCATATATGGCCTGCAAACCCTGAAATACTTGCTACTTAGCTATTTACGAAACATGTTTGCAAACTCCTGGCTTTCTACGATGGACGTATACACTGTGTTTTCAAACCTAAAAGTTTTTCTACGAAACAAAAGAGCTTAGGAAACTATGAATTCTTGAGACTTGTGATCATTCTAGTTCTCTCGCAGGTTCTCTTTTCCCATCTTTACTCTGGGTAAGTACTTTGGAGCACTCAGTCAGCAAGGCCTAGTTCCGAGGGCAATCTTAAATACGCTTCCTTATAGGCAGCTCCCAGGAAATTCACTGCAGTTGTCCTGACAGCTCAGAATCACGTGAAAATTTTGCTACTGTGCAGACATAAGCAATTTATTACAAACTGGTACAGATATTATCTTGGTTTGTTATATTCAGGTAACATAAGCTCACATCACTTAGATGTGTTCTTTTCTAGACTGAATCCAAGACAGTTATGGAAGTAATTTGAGTTCATATGTAAATAATCAGAGAGCCTGATGAAAGGTATATTCCAAAGAAGTGGCTTTCAAACTGCATGTTGGTAGAAACCCCGAGAATGAAATCACTCGCACATCAGTCCTCTCCTGAGTGACCTTCCATTCACTAGGAACCAGGAGATCCCACATTTGACAAGATAATTCCAGGACATCCTTGAAAGAAAATATCATCTGAAAGATACTGATACCTATGTTTTAATTTCTAAGTCACACTGGCAAGAATCACCTAGAGTGAAAATTGTCATACACAGAATGTTTCAAGGTCTTAAAAAAAATTTGTGGAAAAGCCACTGTCTCAGAACATGAAAACAAAAGGTGTTTTAGACATTCAAATTGGTCAATACATTATACATATAAGATGCTGACTATGACAGAATTTACCTGCAACAGAGGCTCATCAACCTCTTGATTTGAAACAAGCATGTAAGTCTCTCTGATCCATCCAACTGCTTGACAAACAGTGCACTGTGTTTAATTAAGTTCTGATACAGCCATATCTGCAAAACAAAACACACAAAACTCTCAATCCATTAAAATTTAATCGTTTGCTAATTTACATAATATTCCAAATTTCCTTGAGTGGTAATATACATTTAATCAAACCTAATCAAAGCCTGATAAGAAGTAAATCTTCAAAATCAGGTTTTACTGAGCAACATTTGCATTTTCTATCTTAATAATAATACATCAGGGCTGGGCGCGGTGGCTCACACCTATAATCCTAGCATTTTGAGAGGCCAAGGCAGGAGGATTGCTTGAGGCCAGGAGTTCGACACCAGCCTGGGCAACACAGCCAGACCCTGTCAATACAAAAACTTTTAAAAATTAGCCAGGCATGGTGGTGTAGTCCCAGCTACTCAGGAGGCTGAGGTGGGAGGATCACCTGAGCCCAGGAGTTCGAGGCTGCAGCGAGCTATGATCAGACCTCTGCACTCCAGCCTGGGTGACAGAGGGAGACTCCATCACTAAAATAAACAAATAAACAAAATGCTTTTATTGCCTCATTAGACTAATTAATGGAAGGTTTTCCTCATGTTTCTGCCTAGCTCAGCTCAGGCAAAAATGCTGGGTTTTAAGGCCACAGATTAGGTAAGCAATAAGGTATTCCTCTGTCCTCTGTACTTAGTTCATGCGAGGATCTTTCCAGTATGTGTGGTCTGTAGCATGCAAGACTTGCTTTTCACTGCAAGACAATTTGAGATTTTAAATACAGGTAAACAAAAGTTTCTGAGAATAGATACATATTTAACCTAACAATTATACATGAATTTCTTCATATTTCCTGGGAAAATGGGTAGTAACAAATTCCATTTAAAAAAAAAATTATTCGTCTATATTTATTTTCCACCATTAACATACACTATTCCTCATCACTGGTAACAGCAAAAGCCTATAAAATTTTTAGAAAAAAATTTTTGATATTTAAAAATGAGACACCCTACATTTTACGGACTGCGGACGAACATGATGATGTGGTATTTCGGATGCTTCACACTGATGGAAGCGTGACGACTGCTGAGGCTGGCTCAGGGGAACACGGTAAGTGGGTCAACACAGTCTAGTTTTTTATGTGTGAAATTTCCCATAATAAAAAATGAAAAACCCTATTGAAAATGTGTATCGCATTTTAATAGGTAAAGCACATTACACAGAGGTGACCTATTACCACTGGCTGAGTAGTGGCTCACAAAGGCTTAGACATAGTGGAGGGGTTACCTGACTTCTCAATCAGACATATACCATTTCTATTTAAAAAAAATAAGAATTCAGAAAATATATAAACAAGGACAAGTGAAAATGTAGTTAATACTCACCAAACGTTTTGAGTCTTCATTCTGTTTGTAAAAAAACAGAAGCTGCCTTACCAAAAGGGTAAGGTTGGGACCACTAGCAATGGGAAAAGTGCCACCAGACTGGGACAGGCTAGCACAGCGATCAAATGCACTTCTTTGGACGGAGTACTGAAAGCACAACAAAGCGATACATAAATATGTTATTTAGATACACAATTCTTACATCTAAATATATGCTACATGTTTTTACAGGAGTGGTGGAAATTGGCAATGAATATGCTGCTGCTGGAGTTGTTGGTAAAAGGTTTAAGGAAAGCCTGGCACGTGACAGCAGACCCCAAGTGCCTGACAGACTCTCCCGCCACTTCCTTCTGCTCTGATCCTCAGCTGTGGTTTGTCCACGTTTGTATTTTGTTATTTAAAAATTACCTAAAATCTCACCTATCTATAAGTCTTAGTATAATTAATTAAATTGTTTATTGTGAAAAATACTATTATCAACATTAACTTTCACTTAAAAGGTGTATAAAAATACATACAAAATGAATGCTGACAATAACAAGGCCAGATTTAAAATAAACTCTTGCATGCCCATCTAATGCTTTCTCATTTTAAAAACAAACAAACTTACTTACTTGCTGTTTTCTATCTCTATAGCCTCGAATAAATGACTGGATAATTACTGCATTTTTCAATCTTCGCCTTTCTTCCTGAATAATGAAGGGAGGAGAGAGGGTGCAATTGGTCAGTATCGGTGAAAACGACATTTTGCTAGTAAAGACTTTCTATTAAAAAAAAAAAAAAAAGCTATATAATTCATATACCATGAAATTTATTCTTTAAAGTATACCATCCACTGAATATATTTTTAGTATATTCAGAGTTATGCAACCATGACCGCTATCTAATTTTAGAACATGTTCATTACCCCCGAACAGAAACCCTACGCCCACTAGCAACCATCCTTCATTCTCTGCTCTCACTCCCTGCCCCCAGCAACCACTAATCCACTCTCTGTCTCCATGGATTTGCCTATTCTCCACATTTCATACAATGTAAGCATATAACATGCAGCCTTTCGTATTAGGCTTTTTCACTTAGTGTGATTTTTTTCAAGATTCATCCATGTTACAGCATATGTCAGAACTTCATTCCTTTTTATGGCTGAGAATAATATTCTATCGTATGGATGGATCACACTATGTTTATCCATTCATCTGCTGATGGACATCTGGGCTGTTTCCACCTTTAGCTATTATGAATAAGGCTGCTAAGAACACTCGCACACAAGTTTGTGAACACAGGTTTTCATTTCTCTTGGGTACGTACCTATGAGTGGCATTAACATTTTAAGGAACTGCCACAGTTTTCCAAAATGGTAACACCATTTTACAATCCTGTCAGCACAGTGACTTTTTTTTAAACTGATAGTTTTAAATATTAAAAGAATACAAACAACACAAACATTCATTTTAAAGATCATTTTCTTGTTTCAAAAGAAAACTCCAATTTCCATTGACTTGAGACTGTCTTTAAACATTTTCAGTGACCTGGCAAAAATATATATTCTTTATCGTCATCATTTTAAATACTGCAGCTACCACTGTTTGAGAGCCTACTACGTGCCAGCCCTGAGAGGCACTTCATATTCAACTGCACAACAGTCTTACAGGTGAGCATTACTTCTAATTTAAAGATGCTGGAACCGATATTGCTGTAAAGATTAAGTAATACCCAAAGATGTACAAGAGTTAGAATTCAAACTCAGGTGTGACACCAAAATCTGTACTCTGCCCTACCACATCACGTTGTTTCACGTCGTCTATGAATGCCATCTACCAACCTGAGACACACATATACTCACCCACACAGTCCTGGGGTTAGAGAACACCGTCACATCATGCAAGGGTACTTTCTGAGCTTGGAATGGTTACAACAAGAAAATCTGTGAGCTCTAATCTAGTTTTGGAATCTATTCACTAAAATAATGATTCTAAGAGAATTTAATTAAAAGCTCATGAGGCAACAGCAAGACCCCATCTCTACAAAAAATAAAAAAATTAGCCAGGCATGGTGGTGCACGCCTATCGTCCTAGCTACTCAGGAGGCTGAGGCAGAGGGATTGCTTCAGCACAAGAGTTCAAGGCTGCAGAGAGCTATGACTGTGCCACTGCACTCCAGCCTGGGCAACATGGGGAGACCCTCCCTGTCTCTTTAAAAGAAAAAAAAAAGAGACCTCAATGGATATATTTAACAATTAGACAATGCTAAAGAGATAGCTTGTAAATTAGAAGTTAGGTCAGAAAAAAATATCCAAACTGATGCACAGATATTTGAAAGGATAAATATCCAGAAAAGCACATATGGACATGCGGGATACAAGGACAAGGTCAAATATACTTGCAATTTGAGTTCAAGGAGGAGAGTAGGAGAATGGAGTAAAAGCACTATTGGAAGAGACAATGGCTAAGAATTTTCTCAAGGGAAAAAAAAAAAAGATAAAAAGCACCAACCAACACATTCCTTTCTTGGTGGAATAGTAATTCAACTGAGGCAAGTTTACCACGCAGTGGACATTTTGTAATTTCTGGAGACATTGTTGGTTGCCGCGTCTAGAGGAGGGAGTGCTGTTGGCATCTAGTGCGTAGGGGCCACAATGCTGCTAAACATCCTCCAAGGTACAGGACAGCCCCCACAACAAAGAACTGTCTGGTCAAAAATGTGCCACGCTTGGGACATCTGCCTGAAAGTCTTTTCATTTGCTATTCCTTTAACCGAGAATGTTCTTCTTCCAGCTTTTTCACAAGGCAGCTTCTTTTTCATCTTTCCGGAATGAGTTCCACTCTAACCTCCTCAGAGAGCCCTTCCCCTGAACACCCGAACATAGGCCTTCCCAGTTCCTATCACGTCACCCTAGTGCCTTTGCAGCCCTCATCACTGTCCCAGTATCTTGGTCAATACTGGTGTTCTACCACTGAACAGCAAGCTTGTCCATCATATGCTCTATCTGTATGCTCAGCAAGCAGAACAGTACCTGACACAACAAGCTCTCCACAAATATTGTTACAGGCATGAATGAATCGTTAACACATCAAAACATAAAAACTCTATCTAGAAAAGCAGGCCATAAGATACTACAACTGCTGATTAATCAACAAAGTAAAACTATTTTAAGAAATCACCACCAAAAAGATATGATGTAAGATAAAGAATAAAACAAGGAATGTCATTAGCTCCTTTCTTTTATCTTCCCCACGTATAGTTAAGATACATGCCTTATCAGTGAGTTTTCTCCTTTTACCTGGTGAAATATCTACATTATACACTAAGGCTTTCTAGATTTTCCGGAAGCCATATCATAAGCAAGTAAGCCAACCAAAAGCCTATATTCCCCTCTCCACTGCGGAAATTGCCTTTTTAGTTTATCTTTTTCTCTATTGGTTCCAGAATAAAAGACTTACTGCAAAATCAAAGGAATCCAAAAATGAGTCTAAAGCTAAATACACACATACATTATGTCATATATTATACATATATAGATAAAAAACTAAAACCAGTGCTTATCTATAGTTTTACAAAACTGTTTTTACCTCTCTCTTTCTTCTTTCTTCCTGAGTACGGTGTAAAAGAGAAGCCTTTTCTTCCTAAATCCAAAAAGAGAAAGAAGAGGTAAAAAAGGTTATCATTTCAATTTTAAAACACTATCATACAACAATTACAGAATGTTCTCACCCAAAATGATTCTAAAGATCATCCAATCAAACTATCTGACTTAGTCAGATGAGAAACCAGAGGCACAACAGGTGAAATGGTCCCCCACTCCAAGGTCACAGATCTAATTAAAGTTAGTATTTCAGTAGTTTTCTAAGAATAAAATCTGATTCCTTCACATTCACAAGTGAGTACAAACGGAAGTGGGGAATGTGAATAACACTGGTGCGCTGTACTCGTGTCAATGTTCTGGCTGTGATGTCCACCGCAATTCTATAAATTACTGCCCACAGGGGAAACTGGGCAATGTGAACAAGGGACCTCTCTATTCTACTCCTAACAGCTCCATGCAAGCTTACAACTATCTCAACAGAAATGTCAATGAAAAGCCAATTTCTACGATGAAAAAAATCTTTCATCGTAAGTAAAACTAAATTTTGAATAAAATTACTTGGTTTGTAGAAGGAATTAAAAGAATGAAAGGGAAAGTTAAAAATTTCAAATAAATAAACAATACTTAAAGACTCCTCCCCTCAAAATTATTCCAGTCTTGGCCTGATGTGGTGGGTCACACCTGTAATCCCAAACTTTGGGAGGCTGAGGCGGGAGGATCACTTGAGGCCAGGAGTTTGAGACCAGCCTGAGCAACAGAGAGATCTGATCTCTTAAAAAAACGCCCCAAACTGTTCCAGTCTTTAATGTGTGAACATTTTATTTTTTTAAATTTAATCCAAAATAAAACTAAAGGTCCAAGACATTGCATATGAATCATTAGAAAAACTAATAAATTTAAACCTCTTAACAGATATACTCTACCAGAACAGTGTCAGAGAGTAAACCAATTTAAAATTATACACTGGTATGTGAACACACAATATGCACAATCAAGTTTCTCACCATCAAAATGTAAAGCCAAAGAAATAAATCCTCCAGATACTTTCCACTATAGAAAATTTCAAACAAAAAGCCTTTCAAAGGCAGAAAAATATTTTGTTTTAAATTTAATTAATTGTATTCAATCACATGATAGTCTATATACAAAGACTTTCAATTTTAAACCAATTTTAGATAAAGAAAAGTTGCAAAAAATGGTATGAGTTCCCCTATCTTACCCACTCTTCCTCTACACAACCAGGTACATACAATGATCAACAGGAAATTAACACCGGTACCGTTTACTATTAACTGAACTACAGGCTTAACCAGAAGTTCACCAGTTTTTCCACTCACAGTCTGTATCTGTTCTAGAATCTCATCCAGGACCCCACACTGCACTTGGTTACTCTTTCTTCTTAATCTTCTCTGACCCATAGCAGTTGCTCTGCCTTTGTCTTTCATGTCCTGGACACCGTCCCTCAACGCGGGTTTTCCCAATAGTCGCTCATAATTAGAGTTAAGGTTATGCAATGAAGACAGTATTAGACTCTAATCCATAGGATAATACATATATCCATGACTCCATGTCTATATAAATAATCGAATAAATAAATGAACAAGGGAAAATAAAAATCTCTTCCTCACAGAATCCAGTTAAAAAAGGCAGAAGGAAAAGGGAAAAGAGAACCATCAAGCACTACAGTAGTACGTGCTGTAGACGAGCGCTCCTGATGCATGCTGAAATTAGTGGGCAAGTTTGAGGAGAAACAGGATTTGCCTGGTCTCAAAGCATCTCCCTCAAGATACTTAGCCACTACCAAGGCAAAGGCAGTAAATTTACAGTGGAAAAACCCTGAAGACACTAACCAAATGATCAGGTAAACATCTCCGGTAATAAAACGTTAAGGAAATCATGAACTACTACTTGATAAAATGCACAGGATACAATATAACTACTGCATTAGTCTTGCCAAAAAGATCCTTTTCACTTAAATATATTTACTTCAAGGGGAAACCTTCTACCACACACTAAATGGAAAGACAGTATCACTTGTCCTAAATAGAAGGTCTCTCTAAAAAACACAGTGAAAATGAACCACATTACATTTTAAATTAAAAATACTGAATTGTATAAAACTCTTATAATTTTATTTGTGAAACGCCCCATCTGAAACTAGGATCCTCAAAGCAAAAGAAACTGCTTATAATCACAATAAAGGAGTATGACGTGCTATATTGCTTAATTTAAGGGGAAGATGAGACTTTATTAGACCATTTTATTTTTTATGATGACTTTCTCATTACCAAGAATTATGACTTTCACCTTACAAGATGTGGTAAAGCCCAGAAAACATGAACGACTAAGTCACAGACAGTTGTTTCAACATTTTTCAAGTTCCCATTATGCTTCTGACAATTCCATCTGTTGCAGTAAATGGGTTTCACAGTAGAAAGAGGTGACATGAACTGTGCTATGTGCCAACACACTAGAGTTTACTGACATTTCTTTAAAATGTTACAGTGTTAAAGCTACATTATAAGGAAAATTCGTCCAGAAAGATGTGGGACTATTAGGTCACCTTCTCAGTGCCTGCAGGATGTGAGCCTCAACTTCCCAAGCAGTTACAGGAACACACAAGCAAAGCAGGAGACAGACACAAGACGTGCAGACAACATGCCCACACACACTGGAGAGCAGCGTGGGATCAGGATAAACAGAACAGAGATCACACACTTCAGCTCCACAGGTTTTGCTGAATTATCTAGACTCTGGACCTCTTCCTCCATGGAACGCGAACGCCTCTGCCTCAGAGAAGTCAGGATTAACTGAAAGCATACAAGTAGCACACCCTGCAGGAGAACAAATACTGAGTACAGAGCATATCTAACCCAAGGAGAGAACAGAAACATCCTCGAAGGAAAGTGTCCTCTGAAGCTCATTGCAACTTAACCCCTGCAACGAGACAAAGATGCAAAGATGCCCTGAACTGCTTAGCCCAGGGAATACATTTTTCCAGAGAACAGCGTATCAAAAGCCTTGACACAATGTGCATACTTTGACCAAGCAATTCAACTTCTGCCAATTTATCCTAAAAAATGATTATAAATTGTTGGCTATCACACTGTTCATATTAAAACACAACCTGAGTGTCCAAAAATAAAGGATGGACATGTACACATCACACAAAGTTCATACCATGAACATGCGTAACAGCTTTTTAAAGTAAAACAAAATTTTAATGTTAGAAAACAACAATTTAGCCCTCAACTTTGAGATAACCTAGAGCGCAATGTCTTAAGGTCAATCCAACAGGAGCCACAGCCACAGCAACTGAGACCTTAAAGTCAGCAGAGAGGCGTGGCCGCGCCTCTGACAGCCCTGGGGTTCACTCGGCCCCTGCTCATTCCCCGCTCAGCAAACACTGCCTGGTGAGGAACACGCTTCCATCCGCACGTTAGAAACACACCTGGCTTTCCACTCACCACGCGCCGTCACAGTCTCTGCCATGTCCCTCAGAGCTCTGTCCTGAGCCCGCACGTCTTCCAAAGGCAGAAACTTCCCCTTGATGATCTCAGCTTATCCCACAAGCCCAACTGCCAACACTGAGGGGCTGATGCACTCCCGGGCTCCGCCCGAGCTCCCCACCAGCACTCCCTGGGCGCCTCCCAAACCCAGGGCATGACTCAGCACCCATTGCAGGCACCCCGATGGCACGCCCTTTCTGCTCTCCCTCATGCCCAGCCCCATCACCAGGGCATCGTGTTACTTCAGTCGCCTCAACGTCTCCTGAACCCACTGCTCCATGTGGGTTCCTAGCCCCTTCCTCTGGGCCCTCGCTGTCTCTCCCGCGGTTTCCCTGCCTTCAGGCTTACCTGTGTGGGCTCCAACACCACACTGCCCCACACTCATCTCTCTAAAACCTAAGTTTGCTCAAAGTCACTTCACTGCTCAAAATTCTCCAACGGCTCTTCAGTGCTCCCTGAATATGCCCTGGTGCGGCCTCCAGCTCTGGCCCCTGACAGCCCTTCTCCAGCCTTCTCTGCTACCACCTCCACCCGCTCTGCACACCCCATTCCAGCCACAATCTGCACAGCCTGTAGCTGATCACCAGCTCTCTGTGGTTAGACACCTTTGCCCATGCTGTTCTTCAACTAGACATCAGTGTTAACAGGGATTAGTTGTCACCCAATCTTCTGGTCCTTTTCAAAACAGTTCTATCCTCTGACTTCCCACTCACTCATCAGTGTGCTACACCTTAACTTCCAACTCCAACCACTCTACAGATTATGCGCTCTCAAGTCACCTAATTCTTCCTAGCTCCAAATCCAGTAGACTGTTCGTACAGCACTTCGCTCCCTGCCTCTCCGCAGCCTTTGGCAGTGCTGGCCACTCCCCCCTCCTTGAAATTCCCTGGATACCACTCTCCTCCTGCCCCGAGGTGTGGCTCTTTCATAATTTCCCCACACACGCACCTGTGAAGTGTTGCAGGACCTCACGAATCCCTTCCTGTCAGAAACTCCAGGCCCTCCGTCAGGTGACTGCATCCTAAGTTCTAGGCCACCTGTCTGCTGATAACCCCAAATCTGCATCTCCAGCCCAGATCCTTCCCCGAGTTTCACACGTGTACAATCCACCACCCGTCAGACATTCTGCCTCAGTCCCACAGGAACCTAGACATTCACTCTACCAAAACGTCCCCCTCTTGGAGAATCCGCTCCCTACCCCTCACATCCAGACTGCTCCATTTGTACCAAACGACTCCAACCCCCTCCTTGGACTCAGCTCCCAAGGTGGAAACATGACTCAGGCCAATCAGATTTTCTCTCCGGAGAATTTGGAACTGAGATCGAATCCTCTGGACACTTAAACTAGGAAATCAAATACAGCCAAGATGAGGTGCAAGGGAAACGGAGAAGCCAGTCTGCAGAGCGGAGGACGGCGACAGAGAAGTGGTGATCACACAGCTCCAGGAAGGCTGAGTGACCGTCCTGGGAGGGCTAACTTGCCGTCTGGTTGTTCCGACCTTCACCATCCCCATACCCTCTCAGAAACCCGTTTTTCTTCCATTTTTGTCTTGCCTACTAAACCAGTATCAGTAAATTTCTGTACTTACAATCAAGTGATTCCTAAGATAATCTTCTAGGTACTACCAAGAAAGAAAAACAGGCTGCCAATTAAGCTACAGCATGCCATCAAGAAGTATCGTGATTTCAGAAACATTAAGAAGTGGAAATCAGTGTGACTCTGAATCAACGTAATCCGGCACATGTCCACTCCCTGTACACAGACCCTTCCACCCACCTGCGATATCTTCTTGCTGTTTCCACCTATCCCAATTACACCCATCCTTTGGGACCAAGTGCCACCAAGTCTACTCTTCCTGATTCAGACCCAAGGGAAATCTGGAATGTGGGAATTACTGTCTACTGTTATTAAACTTTTAATTGTTTAAGTCTTAACTCCCCAACAAGATTTTCAACCCCTTCAAAGTATGGATGGCTCCTACAGAGTCTTTACAAATAATACAACCCAAAAATATTCATTTAAGTCAAAAAAAGAAAAAGATGCATTTATTCAAAAAGTGGTAACTACTCAGTTTTCCACTAAGCTCAAGAAAGAAGGGAAGATTTAAAATAATAATTTAAGTCATGAGAAAAAGATTATCATAACTTATTGTTTTTTTCAATGAGGGAAGAACTTATGTGGCAGCCAAAGAGAATTAAGGAAAATAAACGTATGCAGGTGCTCAACACAATTAGTTGTCAGCATACAAAATTAAAACCACAAGGAAACTACATTCCCACCAGAAATGTCAAAATTAAAAAGACTAACAATACCAAGTGTTGGCAAGGATGTGGAGCCACGGGCACCCTCAGACACTGCTGGCTGGAGTGGCAGCTGGCAAGCCAAGTGGGAAAATGTTTGGCTGGCAGTGCGCAAAAGAGCTGAACATACATATCACTTATGACCCAGCACACGCGAGTATCATGTCCACCAAAAGACACATACAACAAACACCCATAAAAAATCAATTAAACTGTGTAGTGTTTATACAATGGGCCAATACTACACAAGATGGAAGGAATCCATCTCTGAGACAGAACGTTGAGCCAAAGCTAGGCACAAAGACTCCACCTACATAAAGTTCGACAACAGGTAAAACTAATCTACGGTAATAGGGGTCAGAAGAGCAGTCACCTCTGGGGAGAAGTCATGCACCCAGAACTGACCTTTCAGTCCCACAATCCCATAGATTACAATACCGTATTTTTACTGTGCCTTTTCTATGTTGAGATAGGCAAATACTGTGTTACAACTGCCCACAGCACTCAGTAGAGTAACAAGTCTGTGACTAAGTGCAACAGGCCATCCACATAGCCTAGGCGTGTAGTAGGTTACGCCACCTAGGTTTATGGAAATACTCTGATAGTCACATCACCTAACAACAAGGTGTCCAGTCGTTAAGCCACACAGGATTGTACCAAATGGGCAGAGCGAGAGGGAGTCTCTGGAATGCTGGGAAAGTTCTTTCTTTGATACGAGCGCTGTTCCATCTACATATGGGTATGCCCGTATGTGAAAATCCTTCGAGCTGAACTTGCTGTCGGTTCCCCACCCAGACTCCTTCACCAGGCCAGGGCATCCATCCCCCAGCTGCTGCAGGTCAGCTACTAATGGCTCCTTCCTGCTGCCTCTAGAGAATGGCCCTCAGCTGAGAGGCCAGCACTGCCACATTCCCAGCCTCAGCCAAGGGCAGCCTGCAGCCACCAGCCCCTTGTCTCAATTAAGGACAACCGTGATATGCTCCCAGTGGGACTGGGCTAAAGCTAGATGCCAGCTGAGAAGACCCCATCCCCTCCCCCAGCCAGCTTCCCTCACTCCCCTCCTCAGTTTCACTTGCCTGAGCATCATCCTCCTGAGGCTCTTTAGGGAGACAGGACCCAAGACAGAACACAGTGTTTGTGAACCTGTATGATAAGTTTATACCTCAATAAAAAGTTGTTTTTTTTAAGGAGGGGCATTGTTTTGCACAGCAAAAAAGCTGTGATCTCGAGATTCTGAAAGATAACCACTTCCTCAGGGCAGCGATGTGTCACCAGGTGAAAAAGGACCAACACTCATGGCAGGCCTGCCAGGCACTCCTGCAAGAGAAGCCAGGAGGCTCTATACAAACAAATGACAGGAATTCTAAGGTGGTGACCCGCCACTAGCTTGCTGTGTGAATGTGCACTCAAGTGCTCTGCATCTCACCTTCCAAACTTGGAAAGTAGGAGATTTGGCCCTGAGGTTCCCTAAAGTCCCTTACAAATGTAGAAACCCTTTGATCTCATAAGGAATTTTCATTAACATGCAAGCCCCCGAATGCTACCACGCCAACCCTGACCTGTCTGCACAGTACCTAGTTCTGCAGCACAAGCTACCTACACCCAATCACCATCACATAAACTCCAAGGCCTGGAAATTCTCAGCATGCTTCTCTCAACTCCCTACCCAGGTTCCCTTCCTCTACCCTCGGAAACCACCATACACACACCCCCGTGGCACAATTTTAAAAGTATGCTCCTTCCTACTTGAGCGTCAGCATCCATTCAGGGTTACGTGTAATATACAAAATATACTAATTAGAGACAAGAAAGACTTAGCTAAGCATATTAAAGAACATTTCGGAAACTATTAGTAAACAGGCAACTAATTAAATTCAATTAAACTTTCAAAGATTCCAAGCTTGGGGATCACACTTTTGTTTCCAGTCTGATCCAGGACCAGAGCAGTGGAAAAGGGGTGGAAATCGGGGGACTGGACAATACCACACTGATGTTCAATTACTTATCAGCAATTTTCCTGAACCAACAGATGCCAGTCATCAGGGACAGAGAGCTGGAAATTCTAGAACCGGGGACAACAGAGTCATCACAGTTCGTTCACTCTTATTCTAAACTATTACCATACGAATAATGACATGACTGATCATGACAGACAAAGTCCCAGAGTCTCTCCGCAACGTTTCCGGAAGGCTGGTAAAGAATAATTCTCGTGGTCTTGGATTCCAACACATGACTAATTATGAGGCGTTCTGCCTCCATTTCAGAGATTACTGACATCCACAAGAACGTCGTGTTTACTTTCGATAGCAGAAACTACCCTTTAGGTAGTACTCTAAAAGGAATCACTATCTGATGTCGGGAGGGACCAAGTTGGGAAAGTGCATTCTATTTCCATAAAGAAACCCTGCCCTTTGCCCCCTGTGCACAGAAAGGGTGCCTGCGCCGTTCGCAGCACGAAAACGTGCGGAGCCATGCACTGCCTACACCGAAGAGACACTCCCCTGCAGCTCTAACCCTAACCGTCCGTGGTTCGCAGCACGCAAACGTGCAAACGCGCGGAGCTGCGCCGCCCACACCGAAGAGGCAGGCACTCCCCTGCAGCACGCCCGCAGGTCTGAACCGCGGCGAGAGGCTGTTACTGGGGACGCCAGCGCACCCAGGCCTTTCCCACGAGCCCTCCAGAGCAGTTCCCAAAGCGCCGCCCGCGCCCCTGACCGACCCTCCGGGCCCCGACCCTGACCTCTGACCCCCGGCCCCGACTTCGGGAGGCCCCGAGCGCACGGGCGGCGCTCACCTTCCGGCTCGCGCCGCCGAGGGACACCTTGGGCCGCGTCTTGAAATCCCCTTCAAAGCTGAACATCTTTACAGCTTATCCCATCGGGCAGCGCCCGGCGACCAGCCGAGCGCTCTCGCTCTCGCTCTCGCCTCTCGGCGCCCGCCCGGCCCGGGGCAGCGCGACCAGGCGGCGGCCGGAGGCGACCGAGCCCGCGCCGCGCTCTGCCCGCCCGGCCCTGCCCGGGCGAAGGGGCGGCGACACCGGAGGGGCGGCTCTGCCTCGCCGCCCCTCATCCACGCCTTCCGCCGCTGCGGCCGCGGTCAGGAGCGCCTGACGGGCCGCGAACCCCACACCCGCTCCGGAGCAGCCGCCTCGGGAGGGAAGATGGCGGCCTGACGCAGCTGCCGTGCGCGGCCCCG